TCTTTGACTCACTGCAAGACTATGCCCAGGATGAGACAAGAGTATGGGCTGAAGTATCGGCTGCACGTACCAATCTGGAAAGCTCCATGACGGAATTGATTGCTAGGTTACGTGATATAGATGATCACCGTACCACAAAAGGAACTACCTCACTTGATATCAGCACCAGGCATTCACTCCCAGAACTTCGTTGGGTCAAAGGAAACGAGGAGACAATGCGTGGCAGGCTTGATAATAATGTTTTTGTGCCGTGGAGAGCTGCGGGGGTAGATCGACTGCTTATGAGGCTTGAATTCGGCGGGGCTAGTGCCGAGGGTCATGGCGCGGATACGCTCGATTTTGGTGGAAATACGGTATTTGCGGAATAGGGGCTCAGTGTCATGGCTATAGAATCGTTTATTTGGCGTCTTATAAAGGGGGAAAGGAGGAAAGGTATTCCAGATGGCGGATTATAGTCTACGTGGTACGAATGAAATATGAATTTACTTGATAGCCATTTCTATTCATCCTCTTTCTACACACCGATAGAAGAATGAGAGCAAGTCTAGAACCGAGCTCATGCATAAACCGAAGAAAAAAAATAATCATAATCGTGATATTTGGGTATCTGAAACGCTTGATCTTCCAAGATAACTCGCAGTATATATATAAGGAAAACGCAGAAATGGGAGGTTTATATAATATATACGAATCGAGGTCGAGATGTCTTCTCCATAGCAGCCGGCGACTTTGAAATACCAGGTCCCATAAGCCTGTCAGTTGCTCCGTCCCGCTCTTCTGTACGGAGCATAGCATCTTCTTCGCAATCGAGGGCGGTTTCTCCTCTAACCGCCGATGCAATACCAGCTGCATCAGCTAGGGCCTGCCTGTTTTCCCGTTGAAGTAGGATTCTTAGGGAAAATGCAAGGATTGCAACTAGGAGCATGAATAAAGAACACACCATCATGCCCTTGATATACCATGGTCCGTCGGTATCAGGGTACAGTCTTGTACCGATCAGGGGTCCGCACTGACCGACAACATTGAGAATAGCCATACCGGTACCTTTACCTTCGCCTGCAGGTTTATTATCCATGGTCCAGGCTATGATGATAGTGATGGCGGAGAAGAAACCAGCTGCAGCGGGGTAGAGGCATACATATCTAATCAGGATATGGACTGAGGTGGGAAGATGGGAGTGGAAGTAACCGGTGAGGGCTATAGTGAGGTATGTAGCTGATGAGATAAGGGCGAGAATAATGAGGTAGAAGCTGCGGCTTCGGTGACGGTCTGACAGAGACGCAGTTATCAGGACTACCACGAAGGCGAAGAGGTAAGGAGGTGCGGAGAGAGCTTGAGATGTGAGCTTTGAGTACCCCATGCTAGATGTTGTTAGCAGTTGTCTCTTGTGCACTCAGGGGTATCTGACATACTCATGTAATATTGTCGGCAAGAAGACCGGGAGAGAGCTGAATGCTACGTTGCAGCTGAGAAACATGAACTATTCAGAGGTTAGTAAAACGCAATATAATGAAGGTATCGGTTGGATTAACATACCGCAGTAAGGTAAGACTTAGGATCACAGAGCGTTCTACCAACTTCTCCCCAATCAAATCTAGTCTTCTTGATCTCATGCTTTGGCTTTCCAGCCTTCAGCCTCAATTTAGCGACCTTCCGCTCTCTGGGTGTGAGATATTTTGCCTTTCCGGGACCATCAGGGATATAAGACCAGGCAATGAACGCGACAATGATGCTGGGAAACCCTTCGTACAGGAACAATGCACGCCACGGAGCAATTGGTCCGTTTTCGCTCACCCATACGATAAACCAGGCTAAGGATCCGGCAAAAGAGGTCGCTAGGGGAGCAGCGCATAATATCATCCCTGTACGAAAAGCGAGTTCTTCACGCTTGTAAAAGAAAGACAGGAAAAAAGGAACACCTGGTGAAAAGGCAGCTTCCGAGACACCGATCAGAGCTCTCAGGAAGACGAGCTGCCAGAATGATGTAACTAGACATTGCATTGAGGCAAGGACTCCCCAGGAGAAGACGCAGATGGGTATGTATATGTGCGCTGGAAGGATCTTGTACATCAGAGTCATCCATTCGAAGCATATGTAGGTGATATAAAAGGCTGTAAGAGCCCATTCGTACTGGCCGGAAGAAAGGTTCAGGTCGTCCACAAGTCCTGCGATTCGCGCATTTCCAATATCTACCACATACATCGATTAGTCCATATACCGGCACCCCAGGATAAGAAAAAAGACTCACTTGACCGGTCAAGGAACGATAGCAGATATAGGAATGCCAGGAACATGGTCAATCGTCTATCGAATTTCCTCACAACTTGTCTCTCCTCTTCGATTGTATATGAATTCAACGAATATGAAGCCATCTCGAGGTCATCTTCCACCTCACGCCCCGGGTTATCCCTATAGCGTTCATTCCCGGAACGATCCAACTCGTTATCATCTCGGTCTCGTTCATCGTCGGCTTCATCTTCTCGAGAAGGTGAAATGCCCGGTCTATCATCTTCGTTCGGTATTTCTGTCTCTAGCCGTTTTAAACCCACTCCACGCCCTGACAGGCTGGTAGAGGTAACATCTTCATTTGCCCAGCCCGTCGAACTCGAGCCAGGGGTTAGCATTGACTCAGAGAGAATGTCATCGGTGCGGGTGCCTTCGATGTGCGACGGAATCGCCAAGGGTCGAGTGGATTTGGTCATGTTGATATCGCCTCCAGCTCCGCCATGCAGGTCGTTCGGCTCATCGGCGTAGATACTGCGTATCCGGCTCAGTCAGTCGTGTGAAGCGCAGCAACTACTCCGCGATATACATCCCCTTCTCTCACGGTTGAATGGGGGGTGAAGAATAGTATAAATACTTTGGCGGTTTGATAACTAGTTCGACTAACTAACTACTCCGTACTTTCTATATTTTTAGCTCGCCCGAATCACCTCATGTGACTCCGTGTTGATCCCTCTGCCTGTCTTCACTTTTGGTGCCCACGGCCTTGCACTCCGCATTTCGGGGTTAAGTTAATAATGAAAGGGCAATGTGTGCATCGCGATTGGAAGGCTAGAGGCAGAAAGGGCCAAGGGACGAGGAGGCGACTTGCTCGGCTGTTCGGCGTCTTCAGCTCACGGCACAGTTTAGGAGTCAAGCAGAGTCAAAAAGGGGAAAAGGCTGACTGAAGGAAGAATTGCTCAGTAATTCGATATGGAATGCTAGTTTGCGCTATCATTTGCTGGGCCGAGCAGTCAGTTAACCACCAGACTTGATCACCAGGAGCGTCATCATCTCCATCCTGCAGTGTGACGCATGAGCAGCCGGACCCCCTAACTACCATGCATCAAGTTACCCATTCCAGCCGGATGTTAAGGTGTCTCCATCAACCCCATCACCGTACATGCATAATTTCGTAACTATTCCGCCCCTCCGTTGATCACTGACTCATGAGAGAAACACGGTAGTTGTCTATTTGACAACCTCTCCTAGTTGGCCCTGTCTCGGGGAAGCAGGTAGGTTGCGTCCGTAAGGCCGTGGAGTATGTTTCCCCGGGGTGAAGTGCCTCAACTATGGCCGGTAGCAGTCGGCCTGTCCACGGACTCCCCGTCGACGTCGGCGTGAAACACGCGGTTTGCCCACAGAAGTTGAACACCGACCGCTACTGCTACTACGGCGGGCTGAGTAGTCGACAGTTCCCTTGTCCGACATATCAAGTGACCGCTTTTTCCCTCTGTTTACCTCCCCCATCTCGCGCTGGGCCATTCTGGAGGCTTGTTTCAATACGGGGATCATGTAGTGCGTTGGGTCATGATCACGAAGATGACGAAGTAGGTTCTCTGCGCTGTCACCCACGAGTTTTGCCGTCTTTGTGCTCTTAATTCTGGCATGTTCAAGCTGAGCCGTGGCGAAAGCTATAAACATATTGGCAAGGCTTTGATCCAACTCCCGGATGGAAGCACTAGGAGGCGGTGTCAAGGGATCAGACGTCCCTTGTTGCTGGTGATTAGTCTGCCTGCTCCCGAAAATAGGTGTCGTGGCATCGGTCAGAGCGTGGTCAAGGGCTGTTTCCTTTCTCCATCCAGTAACTATCAAAGTCATCAAAGTCAGTGTTTGCTGTACTTTCAATGGGTGTACTACGACTGATGTTGAACATACCATGGCCAAGAATAGCGCGCAGAGCAATATTCTTGCTAAACAACGCGTCCAGTCGTCCCATATCATCGTCCTTCCTGATACCCAATATCTCATCTTTGAACAGTTCGATGGCTCCGAAGTGAGATAGACTGCTCCCGTTGTCGGTGAGTATTAGCAACGCCTTGTCGTATACTGTGATTTGGCAATCCTCGAAGCTTTGCGAGCGCGTTTTGATCAGGCCAATATGGTATTCAAACACATGGTTAAAGAGCTCCCTGTACCCAGGAGTCTTTGACAGGTGGATGACTGTTCTGGGTGTCTTGATGGCCTGATATTTGTGAACAAGGATATATACTTCCTTGTCAAGACTAGTCAGTCTATTATCCTCAGGCTTGATGCATTCAAAAGCCATATTTGATAGTCCAATTTATATTAATGCAAAGCTGCTTTCAAGATATGGTACAAGGTGATATCAAGAGGGATTGTTGCGTGTGTTTGCTTGGGTAGGCTGCTAGTTAAAATGGTCATAGTAAAGTGTATAGGACAGTTCAAACTGCAGGCGGCTAGATAGGATGCGGGAAGTTCCGTCACCTCACTGGCTTTCCAGTAAATCTCATATTTATATTGCCAAAATAGTCCAAAAGGGTAAACATACTGGTATTATGTATAAAGTCCAAATCCTAAACTACAAGAGAGTCAAGTACAAGCCCCAGGCTCCTGACTAGGCTATTAAGGCAGGGAAACAGCACTAATGGCTGTAGAGTATATATAAACAGTGCCAAAGAAATAAGGAAAAACGAATCATCACGTAGCAATCATCATAAACCAAAAGGGAAAAAAACCAAAAAAAAAATTAAAAAAAGGAAGAAGAGCAAACTCTTCTAGTTCCGTTCGTCCCAAAGGCGTTCGATCTCCTTGACTAGGACAGAGACATCGCTTCGCTCGTTGCCTTCACCACAGTCCGTCCACTCACCGCCGTCACGGATACACCAAAACTTATTGTCCACTCTGACGGTACAGCTCTTTGTGACGCCGACATTTGCGCTGTGCTGGAAGCTCTTCCTCATCAGAGCAAGGCCGCTTGGTCCATGGTCACAGTCCTCGTGGCCATCACGGGCTTCATCACCCTCATCGCTCTGGCGACTAGCACACTTGTTCAGGGCGTTGAAGCTGATTCCGTACTCAAGTGCGCAGTCCTGGACTAGAGCGCGGTCAGGGATATCTTGGTATTCGGATATCATGCAGTTGGAGAAACCCAGATATCGAACAACGGGCGTTGTTTCGTAGTTGGGGCAGGACTTGGATTCTGGCGAAGAAGAGGAGCTGGCGACCCGTGGCGGGTACGGAAGGTTGGCTGCGCAGAGCATCAGAATGTTACCTACACACTCTGGTGGACCGTGGCGGCAGGATACAGCGGAGGAGTCTTTAGAAGCTCTGAATAAGTGGATAAGTATATGAATAGTAGTTGTAGCCTGTGGGATGAGAAAGACTTACGATCCGATGAAAGAGAGCTTGAAGTCGACTTTCCGGTGAACCTGCTCCATGGCCGGCACCACTAGGTCGTGCAGACATGACTGCGCATCCGGACACTTGCTCATAATATGTGCTTCAAAGGGTACTTTCTTCGAGTTGTCTGGATCTGTGGTGGTGGAGGTATGCTTGCCATGTCTCGAGCACGCAGCATCCTTCACAGCATCGATGTACTTCTGCGGGAAGTGAGGCTTATGCAGCACAACAAAGACCGTCAAGCACAGAAACACGGCTGTCAAGCAGTGTCTGGCAAAGTTCTTTGCCTTGGAGCTCTTCTGGCCATCCTGCTGGTGCTGAACAGGCGGCGGGATAGTATCATACTTCTCCTTCATATCAACCATAGCTCCGATCTCCGAGATGTTGCTATTCACTAGTGAGTCAGCAAGGCCCTATACAGCTGTATCACACAAACATCCCCGTCTTCATCGCCTGTCTGTATATAATAATAACTTGGCTGATATTGGATCGTCCATCCTTCAGCTTCGTTGACGGCCTCGACGTCGCTTTTCTGACGTTCCTTTGGGGTGATTACGTAATCTGAACACGTGATCCTGGCAAATCCATAGCGGATAAAGTATATTTTGCAGCACTACTATCTTCCATAGAGATATAGTGGCGAATACTAATAAGTACTAATAAAGTACTAATACTAACTAATAATAATATTAATATAGTAGCTACTAAGAATATTATAAATATACTATATTAAAAAAAAATATATTTTTTTTTTAATTTAGTATTATAATAGCTTTTATAACTAATTACTTAATATAAAAATCTTTTAAATTTAAATTTTATTTATACTTTATCTTTTTTTATTTTAATTTTTAATTTTTTAACTTCTAATTATCTATATTTTTTACTTATAGTAACTAATAAATTTAAAAAAAATTAAAAACTTTTATAGAGACTAGAATATAAATTATTAAATTATCTATTTTATATAATTAATTAAATTATTATTATTCTAATAATTAATAGAAATTAGAGATTTTTAAAAAATTTTAATTAATAATTTAAATTTTTTTGTGTTCCTAGGCTGTTTCCTG